GGTGAGCAAAACCGCTTAACTTTCACTAACTTCCTCAAACCTCCCTACCGCACATTCTGACAACTTTTGGCATTCCTTTCACACTCCACTACACAATCACGCCCCCGCAGTTGGCCTAACATTCGCCTCTACATTTTAACAATATTACCGAACTTCTCGCAATATGCATATTTGTAGGGCTAGCTGGTATCCTATTTGGCGTCACGTAAAGTATTCATACATGAAGGATGTGGAAATGAAAAGCTACTAAGTGTTTTTGCATAAACAACATCTTTGACAGGAACTAACCGATGATACAAAATGCTTTGAAGACAACAAAAAAAAAAAAAAATTTGGTAAAAGATGGGGGAGTCCCTCAGCACTGCTGCTTTACCAGAGACAGCGCAGGGGTCCAATATTAAGAAGCCAGACTTGCGCATCGGATGCAGCAGCGCCAGGCCATTTTGTTCGCAACAGCAAGCATCCGGTTTGTAACCATCTTTTGCCCTATGTATTACCAAGAACCCCTTCATCAAAAAAAAGCGCGAAGCGCTTCGAACAGTTCTGTTCAGCGGATATTCGCTGCCAAAAATGCTTGTTGCTTTACATCTTGGTGTGTGTAAAAGTACTCAGAATGTGTGCCTCTAACGTGAGACGTAGTTTTGGCGAAAGCGGGATTTGAATATGCAAGATCGCATATGAATAGAAAAGATGCTCTAAAAATTCCACCTTGCCCGAAAATAAAACTTCCCCACTTCAAATTTCATGTGTCAGTAAGTGAGATGTGGGTGAAAATGAAAGCTGAGTTTAAAATCCCACGGCTGCACACTGATAAGCATCATCCTATATCTTCAGCTTTCCATTTTGTTTCCCAAGACAAAAAATTTCCCATCAAAACTTTCAAGCAGCCGTATGTGAAGTCTACTGCACTTCAAAACTGAATTTAAAATTTACATAGTCACACGTGGCCATAGTAAAATTTAAGCTTCCAAATTTTTTTTGTTCCCGAGTTAGTAATTTTCCCAACAAAATTTTCACTTAACTGTGCATGAGACTTGGGCGTATGCGCAAGCTAAATTTGACAGGGAACATCATTCTAAAGCTTCAACTTCATAGCTTTTCTAGTTCCAAAACTAGTGAATTCCCCACCAAAACTTTTTATGTAATGTTAAAATAATGTTAAAATGGAACTTGTGGAGTCACACGTGGGCAGGACACATTCCTCTAAAATTTCAGTTGCTAGCTTCCTCGATTATCAAGTCAGTGATTTCTGGCCAAAACCTTCATGTGTCTGTGAATGAGAGCTGAATGGATCGCACATGAGCACAAAATATTCTCGTAAAATTTCAGCTTCCTAACTTTTCTGGTTCCGGAGTTGGTAATTCTCTTGCCAAAATCCCCAAGTGACCACACGTCAGACCCAGGCGTACGTGAAAGCCGAATTTATCTGCTGAGTCGCATGCGCGCGAGGAACATTCTGAAGTTTCAGCTTCCTTTATTATTTAGATCCTAATTT